TGGCTGGGCAGAGGATGCCAGATGATGGGAGGCAGGATGGTGGGGGTTAGGGGATGGGCCAGAGGGGCTGAGAAGGAGCAGAGAGGTGCTGTGATTTAGCTCTGAGGACTCTGAAGAACGAAGGTGACCTGCAAGAAAGTGGGCTGTTGTGTTTAGTACTAATCACAAAGGAGGAATGGCAGAGCCAGGGCGACAGCAGTGGTGAAAGCCAGGAAACAACCGACGCAGCTACAAGGCCAAGCTTAGACTCAACAGGAGGTGGCATCCGAGACACGGAGTGAATGAAGGGAGACAAGGATTACTCCCAAGTTTAGGGCCTGAACAGCGTGGAGCTGGGAATGCTGACTGAGGTGTCAGAGAAAGAAAGGTGGACTGGGAAAGAAAGAAAAAACAAGGAGTTGGGTTTGAGAACTAAGGGGTTAACGCACTAACAAAAACACCACCTGATGAGCATCCTTCACCAGTGGTCACTGGGCCTTCGAAAGGTGTCTCAAGGAATGGGAATCTCATCTCTTTCCCAGATGGTGAACTCCATGCCTGACAAATGAGTTGCTGGAACAGGTGTTTTTTCTTACAGGGAGATAATGCCTGCATAACATTTATGCATTGATTCTGCTTCCACGCTCAGGAGCAAATCACAATAACTGACTCCCTCTTAGTGTCATAGTTCCCCTTAATCAGGGAAGAGTCTGGTCATTTTCAATTCACTTACATCAGATGTTAGAATCAGAAGCTTGAAGGCCGGGTGCGGTGGCTCACGCCTGTAATCCCAGCACTTTGGGAGGCCGAGGCGGGCAGATCACGAGGTCGGGAGATCGAGATCATCCTGGCTAACACGGTGAAACTCCATCTCTACTAAAAATACAAAAAATTAGCCGGGCGTGGTGGCGGGCGCCTGTAGTCCCAGCTACTCGGGGGGCTGAGGCAGGAGAATGGCGTGAACCCGGGAGGCGGAGGTTGCAGTGAGCTGAGATCGCGCCACTGCACTCCAGCCCAGGCGACAGAGCGAGACTCCGTCTCAAAAAAAAAAAAAGCTTGTAGGTAGAATGTCAGTGCCCTGCTACGGACAGGCGACAATTTCATTTCACATTGGAAGAAAAGAAGGCCTAGCATGAAGAGCAAGTGTGCCCCAGATCACCCAGCTCCTCTGGCTGAGCTGATTTGAGATCCTGAGACAGCTGACCCCCTCCAGGGCTCTCTCAATATATCACGCTGTGGCGTGTAATCCAACTCCAAAACCCTATGCTGAGAGCATCCACATCTCGGAGGGAGTTCTTGGCTCTGCTCTCAGAAGATCCATTGAAATTAAACAGAGTCGAAAAATAAATAAACCCACGTAAAGTATGAATAGTATTTCCATGAATACAGGCAGCAACTCTGCCCCTTATTTATGGCTTCACCTGCCACAGAACCAAAAACTCAAGGGTGTCAATAAATGGATTGTAACGTTGCTGTGATGTTTAATTACAGAGAAAATAATGTCTCTGCGGACCCTTTGGGAAATGCACTGATGTCTGCGGCAACCGGCAGGGAGCTTCATGGAAGTATTATTGCCTTTGTGTTCTGACAAATACTCAGCCTTTCCCAGAGCCTCAGGATCTCTGGGTCAGGAGGGGTCAGATGGGTCACCTTGTGTAACTGCCCCTCTCGCTCAGCTCCCTCTCACGATACTGGACTTCTGTTTCTGCATCTCTCATGCCAGGTGTTTCACTACCCCCTGGGCAGCTCATTCCAGCTCTGGACAGAATGGTCCTCATTATGAGGAGCTTGACATCTGGCTCCTTGCCACGTCCCTCCGTAGGTTTGGGGCCACCAGAGCAATCCCAATGTCTCTTTCAGGGGACAGCCCTTTGTCTGTTTGCTGAAGCTGGGCATGTACACCCTGAGCCTCTGCTTCTCCAAGGTAAACATCCTCAATTCTTCCCACCATTTCTTACATAAACAGATTTGAACAGGCTCTGTCACTCACCTGGATTTTCCTAAGTGTGCTGCCTCATCTAGATTGTCCTTACAGTGTAGAGTCCACAAATACAAATGCAGCAGCCCTAATGCACACTGACACTCAGTAACAGAAATCTGCTGCCTTTGTCATCCTAGCTAAAATACCGTGTTAACATGCCCACATCACCCAGCCCCTACTAAATGCAGCTTGTGATTTGGTCCCAAGCGTGGGGTTCATTCTAAAGGATCATGTTGATAGATACAGCATCTACACCCAGTCTGTCATGCTGCCTCAAAGTATTTTCATGATCTTTCCAGTTTCCCATAATCCATCTGCCAGTCTGGTCAAATTGCTCAGTTAGTGATCGCAGTCACTCCACTGGTCATGATGGTTCTAAGCTGCCTTCAAACTGACCATAAACACATCTAACCATAAACACAGACAGTTACGAATTGTCCATACTCCAGATCAACTTCTAATCTCTTCTCTTTGGGAAACCATGCCATTTGCCTTGGTGGCCATCCCAGTCACCCAATCTCACCCCATGTGTTTTAAGCAACTCTCCATCATCCTGTGACCAGAAATAGGTACAGGGCTTCAAGTTAACAAAAAAGTACCAGCCTCCCTCACTACCCTCCCATAACCGCAGTGACCGGTTTCAGGAGTTACCACAGGCAACAGAGGCAGTATTAGGGAATTAGAAAAAGGAAAAAATCCTCTTTCTACTGGGGTTGGTGAGGACAGGATGCAAGCCTGAAACTTCCTCCATGTAGATAATGTCACCCTGAGAAAAACCAAGGCAGAGAAAAACAGAACAAAGGGATAGACAGAGATCTAGCTACAAAGCCCCTGGATCCAGCTCTGCCTGAAGCCTGCCCTATCTCTGAACTTACAAATCCTATTAACTATCAAATTCCCTTTTCACCAAAAATCAATGTGGGTTGGCTTTCTGCCAAAGAGTGCAAATCAAAATTCTGCAACTTTCCTCACCCAGACTATGTGACACCCTGTCAAATCCCTGACCAAAGTTTAATCACTCATTGAGGCCCCAATCTATAGCATGGTATTGCAGTTAAAAACTCAAGCTCTTGAGTCCAATCTGGGCTCCATCTTGACCGCCTTTGGGGCCATGGGCAGATCACTGAAGCTTATCTGCCTCATCCTCCCCATCTGTAAAATAGGTGTTATTAAATGTACCTGCCACAAGGAATCATTGTGAAGAAAGAGTGAACACATGTAAAAGTCCTTCTAACAATACCTGGCCTGTAGAAATACGCAAAATACTAGTTGTTTGTACTGTCGTCATCACTGTGATGACAGAATCACAGTGTCTGTCATCATAGTCATTGTTATACCATTACTATTATTACCAGCTTAGTTAGTTAAAAGTCAATGTTTTACTCATTAAATCTATACTAGCATGGGTACCTCTGTCTTCTTTTATAAAAAGGGCTTTTCCATGATCTCTGGGAGAATGTTTCTTTGTATCAAGAACAACATCAACTTCCCTTCCCCGCTCTTTAGTCCCTTTTCCACAAACTTACCATCCACTGCCATGGCATAATTGACTCTATCTACCTGCTTAGATGAAGGTTCTGACTGCTCCAGGGATGCAGCTCAGGGGTGGGAACAGGGACAGGGGTGTGTCACCCGGCCTCAGCCCTGGGCTGAGCATCCTGAGCCCTCCCTGCTAGGCAGGCACACGGTTCCACCTTGTTTATATTCAGTCTAGCTAACTCAAGGCAAATCTCAGAAAGCGAAGTGGAGATCCTAATTAAAAGGTAGCCTTGAGCTGCCAATAAAATTATGCATAAAGGAAACGTTTAAAAACACAGTTGTGACTTCCTTGAGACAGATTTTCATTTGAGATCTTCATTCTTAAATTCAAGTGTGGGGGTAAATAAAAATAAAGTAAGCTCTTCACCACTGCCGTTCCCTCTCTCTCTGAAGCCTAGAAAACCATCTTTGATAGGCAACACATTGCACTGTATTTGAAATTGCTGGCTAGAAAAATGGCGAGTCTTGCTGTTCCCACTGATTTCTGGAAAGTAGCAGGGATCATCATTTGTTTTTATTTCTTTGGGGAGAGCAAATCTTTTGTTGCCTCCCTGTGCTCGGCCTATCATGTAACTGATCATCTTTCATCCCCAGCCCAGGCCTGACAGCTCCAACAACCCTCTCCCACAGCACCCTGCCTTCCTCCATCACAACGCAGATCGCAACGTGCCACGATGGTTTGTTAGCCTATCTATCTCCTCCACTATCCTGTGAATCTCTAGCTCTGTTATCTCCATATTCTCAGCACCAAGTTTAGTGCAGGCATCCAGTAACAACAACCACACAGCCGGGCACGGTGGCTCACGCTTGTAATCCCAGCACTTTGGGAGGCCAAGGTGGGCAGATCAGAAGGTCAAGAGATCGAGACCATCCTGGCCAACATGGTGAAACCCCGTTTCTACAAAAAATATAAGAATTAGCTGGGTTTGGTGGCAGGCGCCTGTAGTCCTTAGCTACTCGGGAGGCTGAGGAAGGAGAATCGCTTGAACCTAGGAGGCGGGGGTTGGAGAGAGCCACAATCGCACCACTGCACTCCAGCCTGGTGACAGAGCGAGAGACCGTCTCAAACAAAACAAAACAAAACAAAAAAACCCACACAAACAAACAAAAAACACCACCACCACCACGATGTTGAATGGGTGAATGAATGAATGAAAAGATGGACCAACTCTTGAAACATATGGCTCCATGAATAGCTCAGTAATTTCTCCAGGGCCCAACCTTTTCCCCCATTATCTACAAAGTAATTTACTTGATTTGACATTTCTGTACCCACCACCCTCCCACCACATCAAGGTATGCCTTATTTTGCTTGTTTTTCCCTTTTTCTCCTCACATTGTTGACTGCTGCCAACTACCCGTGTGACCCTAGACAAGTCACTTCCCGTGACTGGAAATCCACATTCCCAATAGATGGCTTTGAGTTTCTTTGCTAGGGTTCTGTGACAGCTAATGTTCCCTTTCTTCCCTCCTTCCCTCTCACTTTGGCTTCCACTCTTACCTTCGAAGCTCCCAGAAAACAGGTAAATCCAGGTGATGGCTGGGATGCAGAGAAGACTCAACGAGGCAGCCAAGAATTTCCGTCTCCCCCTGCAGATTCCCAGCATCCTCTCGGAAGTGGCAATCCCTAATCCCAGAGCCGTTTCTCTGTCCGGAGCATGAAGTCCTCGGCCTCCCTCATAATACTTTCTGAAAGGAAGAGCAAAGAGGAAGGCCTGAGTTCTTAGCACTGGAGATGGATGTAAGTTACGGAAGAGAAATATCTCATAGATCCCGAAAGGGGTTTGACGGATCTAGGCTTCCTGCTAACCTTTCATCCCAAGAGATGATGCTACAGTCTCGCAGTCTGCAAAACTGGGACAATAAATATTAAGTAAATGACAAAAACTGTGAGATCTCTCTCTCACACACATGCATATATTAAGTAAATGACAAAAACTGTGAGATCTCTCTCTCACACACATGCATATACACGCATGCACACACACACATGCACACTTTATAGTATAGGTTAACTTTGAGACCTGAACTAACATACTTAAAGGAGCATTTAGTTAGCACCTATTATGTACCATGTACGAACTATGTGCTGTGTTTCAAAAAAAGACTAAAACATGCTGGGCGCGGTGGCTTACTCCTGTAATCTCAGCACTTTGGGAGGTTGAGACGAGTGGATCACTTGAGATCAGGAGTTCAAGACCAGCTGGTCAACATGGTGAAACCCCATCTGTACTAAAAATACAAAAATGAGCTGGGCATGGTGGCATGCCTGCAGTCCCAGCTACTCGGGAGGCTGAGGCACGAGAATCACTTGAACCTGGGAGGCGGAGGTTGCAGTGAGCCGAGATGGCGCCACTGCACTCCAGCCTGGGTGACAAAGCGACACTTTATCTCAAAAAAAAAAAAAAAAAAAAAGAATACTAGAACAGAGAACGGATTCAAAAAGTGTAGCCTAATGAGATAGATCAACAGAAAAGATCTATGAGAACCCCAAACTGAGATCTGCATGGACCACTCTGAAAGGGCAGATAAAGGTGCTGACTGCCCTGTGTGTGGTCAGGATGGCAGAGCGGTTCCAGCATTCTGGGCAGAAGAGACTGAGAAAGGCACTGGTAATCGACTAAAGAGCACATGCCAAGGCAAGGAGATGGGAGAGGCCACCACCTCCATCTGCATGGGACTGTACCCTAATCACAGCTGAAAGCTTAAATACACTCACTAAGGACTGTCTTCACAGCTTCCACCTTCAACACGGAAGAAGAGGTCCAGAGAATCACAGAAACCATTAAAACATGCAGAGAAGGGATAAGAACAAACGGATAGCCTGGAGAGGGCATATCCTCAGACCATGGCAGCAGACTGGCCGTGATGTATCACCGGAAGAGGGAGCAGGTCAGTGCAGACACAGTGGACGGCCCATGATCTTTCACCTGAATATTTGACCAGGGAATCGTGAAACCTACAAAGGAGTTAAAAAACCAATGGACCCTAAGACCTCATCTCTACCCACCTCCTAACATAGGAGTCACGCCGACTATAGGTGGAAAGAAAGATAAACCCACATAGTGCCTCCCTAACAGAGCGGAACTCACCCATTGCACATAGCTATAAAAGGCCTCAGATTCCCAAGGAACAGATGTCTATAAAACAGCTGGCTTGGTTCTCCCCTTCTATATTCCCAAATGTATCCCTCCCTCTTGGGTAACCCTTATACCACCATGATGAAGGTCTGGTTGAACTGACTCCTTTCCTCACCAGCCTTAGCATTTCCAGAAGACGGGTACCCGCCCCATCAGATCCACCTCGCATTCTTTAAGACTTAGCATATTGCCTGTCAGCTGCAGGTGCCTGACAACTGTCTGCTAAATGAATACATGGAATCACATTCTATCCAGAGGCCACCCTCTCAAGCTTCAGGAGTTTATGTTCAGCGAGCAGCCGACAATAAACACGTAACTGAGCCGATCACAACTGTCAACACTGTGCCTGCCTCTGCAACCACTCTGACACGGTTTTCTAAATGGCCTTCTTTTGGAACAGATGAAAGACCACAGGGCTAGAGGGTGTAGACTAGAAAGTAAAACCGAAAAAAGCAACATCCTTTTGAACAGAGAATGTTGACTTGAAAAAAGTCCCCTCTAGGGAATGTTCATTCTAAAGCATGGAAAACAAACCCTACGTACACATTCCACTAGTCACAGAGAATGAGAACCACCAAGACCCGTGAATCTCTTAGGAGAAGGAAGTGCAGGAAAAGAGGGCTGTGTAGTTAGATAGAGGTGGGTTCAAGCCCAGATGCTGCAATCGGCTGGCTGTGACCTTGACAAGTCCCCTGTCTCTGGATAAACTTCCTTATTCATCTATAAATTGAGATGATACCCTTTATCTTGGAGGGTTGCTTCCAGGCTCAAATGAGAGCCCTTGATGAAGTGCTTACCAAAGATATTTTAAGTACATTTCAGGGGCGATCCTTCCTTCCTGGAGGGCAGAAAAGCAGCCTTAATGAGGTTTGTTTTGTTTGTTTTTCCTTCTTGGAGACAGAGACTTGCTCTGTCACCAGGCTAGAGTACAGTGGTGCGATCTTGGCTCATTGCAACCTCTGCCCCCCTGTGTTTAAGCGATTCTCCTGCCTCAGCCTCCTGAGTAGCTGGGATTACAGGCACACGCCACCACGTCCAGCTAATTTTCGTATTTTCAGTAGAGATGGGGTTTCACCATGTTGGCCAAGATGGTCTCAATCTCTTGACCTTGTGATCCATCCACCTCGGCCTCCCAAAGTGCTGGGATTATAGGCGTGAGCCACTACACCGGGCCCTTAATGAGGTTTTTCTCTTTCTCCACTCCCTCACTTCCTCCACAGCGTTGGGTAGGAAACAGATCCCCAAAAATAGGTATTGCCCAATAGTCCAGATAGGTGATTTAAACCTGAAGGATCCACCTACTCAATTCTCCTACGAGAGTTACCATTCTCCCTAGGGATCTGTGAGGGGTTGGTTCAGGACCCCCCACAGATACCAAAATCCACAGATGGCTCAAGTCCCTCATATAAATGGGCATAGTATTTGCATATAACCTACACCTATCCTCCTATATACTTTACTCTAAATCATCTCTAGATTACTTATAATACCTAATGCAGGCCGGGCACAGTGGCTCATGCCTGTAATCCCAGCACTCTGGGATGCTGAGGTGGGTAGATCACCTGAGGTCAGGAGTTTGAGACCGAGGCAGGTGGATCACCTGAGGTCAGGAGTTTGAGACCGAGGCAGGTGGATCACCTGAGGTCAGGAGTTTGAGACCAGCCTGGCCAACACGGAGAAACCCTGTCTCTACTAAAAATGCAAGAATTAGCCAGGTGTGGTGGCGGGCACCTGTAATCGCAGCTACTCGGGAAGCTGAGGCAGGAGAATCACTTGAACCCGGGAGGCGGAGGTTACAGTGAGCCGAGATTGTGCCACCGCACTCCAGCCTGGGCGACAAGAGCAAGACTCCCTCTCAAAATAGTAATA